TCCAAATTTCTGGTCATTCTGATTAGTAAGAAAAAAAATGAAAATTGAAACACTCCCGGACAATTGTGACGGTGCTATGAAGTATATATATATATATATATCTACCCTAAGTAGTTACCACTATTTATCATAAATATGAAAAGATTATAGAGTTATAAGTAATTAATTGTTGCAGAATAGTAACATAATACAGGAATACAAACAGGATGATTATTACAGGAAGTAAAGATATATCAAATATGATCCAAGAAGTATGAGTATAATCGCAGATTTTGAATGTAAAAACAAACTTAAATTGCATAACTTACTGATTACAAATACAGAGACTTGCAAATCTCTTCCACTCAGAGGGATAATAAAAAGGTAAAGAAGATAGATTACAATCACACATTCTAAAAAGAAGGCATATGGAAGTTACCGACTTTGATGGTGTACAAGTGTCGATGACTGTAAAAACCTAACCTACTGTCTACAGAATGAAGAAGAAGGTGAGAAGAAAGAAGAGAAGAGAGATAATATGAGAGAGCAGAGAATATGAAGAACTATGCGAGCTTGCTTCTTGATGAGGCTTGTTGCTTCCTTAAATGCAGTCTGCCTTCTTCTTCTGGCAGAGACGGTATTTATAGAGGATCGTCGGTGGAGAGCATGTGGTTGGTATTAGTTGGCTTGGTGACGAAGGAAACTCATGTGGCTGATATTCATTGCTTGTCGAAGAAGGAATGCGAGGATAAGGTTGTCGCTGATGAAGGAGGGTACGTGGCAGGAGCAGGAGAGCTTTGGGTGTCGGTGATGGCGACGGATGACGTCTTGGCGAATCTTAAGGTGTTGGTGATGGCAACGGATGACGTCTTGGCGAATCTTTGGCGGCCTGTGCGAGTGGTACGTGTGAACGACGGCGAAGGAGGAGGAGACACGTCAGGCGGGTGTTTGACCCGAAATTAGTCACATCATTCAAGAGAATCTTTACTGGTGCAGATGTCTTGTCACTTTTATCAAAGGAATATTTTTGTCGAAATTGGATGGTGAGGTCTTATCTGAGGGATGAAGAAGGAATATATTTGCTGTAGCTTGTTTGTCTTATATACAAGAAAAGAATCTTTGCAGGGAAACGTCTTGTCATGGGATGAGATGATATCGGGCCGAGCTACTCATCGGGTCTCTGGCTAAAATCGTCTAGCAGAGGATTGCCAGATTGTACTGTCTCTTCTGATGTAGCTGGTGCAGTAGTATCAGGGGCAAATATTTTAAACAGGTTTTTTTCTATTTCTTCTAATGTAGCATTAGGGTGTGATTGCTTCATTTTCTTTAGATAGGCCGAAAAAGTAGGTAAACTCACTGTATTATATACTAGTGGGCTTAATACATCGGTTTGAGGAGGCATTCATTTCAGGGATAAGGAGGTAGGATCAGTACTGAAGATATCCTACCATTTGACTTTTAAGGTTTTACCAAGCTTGGGAAGATACTCATAATTGTTTGTATTATTTTAAGAAATAGAGTAATCCCATTAGAGGATCCAGGGTATCTGATAGATTGCCATAAAATAAAGATGGAAATCTTCTAGGTCGGTACAAGTATTATATTGTGCAAATTTAGTCTGGAATGCCTGAAATTTATCAGGTAGAATTTGAGACTGTGATCCCCATAGTAAGAACCAATGGCGGAACCAGTTTGGGAATCTTTCAAGGATGGAAAATTTGAATTGTAAATACCAGGAGTGAGTATTATTGAGATTTTGAAAGAAAAACACTTTGTGCCATGCATCGATATATTCATCATATTTATAGTATTTATATTGAAATTTAGGGTTTAATAATTTTTTCCCTTGAAGGGGATTGCATCCCCAATCACCATAAGAAAGTAGTTTTTTTATTTGAAATTTGGAATAGGCATATACTTTAGTTGTGCCTTGGTAAAAATGGACTATTGAAACCGAACTGGTTTTCATGAGAATGGGCTTATACCATTCACGAGTTTTGATTCCGTATGAAGGATTTAGATGGTTGATAAGATAAAGGGGAGCTATTTTATTTGGGTCAAGTTGTGCATGAGTATCAGAAATTGGTATGTCTGAGAGAAAGGCTGTGTCTACATAGACTGATTTGGCAGGGTTGAATGGTTGTTTATTTGGATATATTGCCGGGGAAAACGCCGGACTTGGAGTTTGTATTGGACTTGGAAGAGGAGTTTGTAACAGGTATTCTGGTACATTCGAAGATCTGAGAGGTGACATCGGTGTCAGGTTTAAAGTAGAATGAATGGGCATAAGAGGCCCAAACATATTGCTAGGTACTATTTCCATATATTGTTTTCCTTTTTTGGTATTTGAAGACTGAGGATTATTCATATTGCTATGCTTATTATCAAGAAAGAGTTGCAAACCGTAGGAGGAAAAACCGTAGGATGAGATTGTATCGTCCTTATGTTGTGGTATATGGTCCCCCCTGCAAAAATTCACGGGTTAAAAAGTCAGGTAAAGAATTAGCAGAATCGTGAAGATGTTCAATAGAGAAATCAAAAGCGGATAAAATAGCTTGCCAACGGGCAAATATTTGTTTTGAAACAAGATTTTGGACATCTTTTTGCAGAATATCCTTGGCTGCTTCACAATCGGTGCGAATGAGAAAATGTTGGTTTAAAATATCAGTTTAAAATTTGCAGACACAATGAATAATAGCAAGTAATTCTTTTTTCACAGTAGAATAATTCTTTTGGGTAAGATTCCAAGCTTTGGAAGTAAAACGTATTAACTGTTCTTTAGAATCAATTGATTGTTTTAATATACCACCTAGTCCTAATTCACAAGCATCGCATTCAATGATTTTAGAAGCTGTTGGATCAGATAAAGTTAAACATGGAAGTTCTTTGGCTTTAAGTTTAAGTCGCTGTACAGCCAAAGTATGAATATTAGTCGAAGGTGGAGGATTCTTCTTTAATCGGTCATATAAAGGTTTAGCATCTAGAGCTAGATTTTGGTAAAAATCACTTATATAGTTTAGACATCCTAAAAATCTTTGTAATTCAGTTTTGTCTAAAATTTTGTCAGGAAATTTATCAGCAAAGAGAATGGATCGATCAATTGGGATGATTGTCCCTTGATTTATATTATGTCCTAGGAATCTAATTTTTGTTTGGAAAAGATTTATCTTTTTAGCAGAAACTACTAACCCAGCAGTTTTGACTGTGTGAATGAAAGTATGAAGATGCTTAAAATGTTGTTCAAGAGATTCAGAAAATACTAAAACATCATCAATATAAACAATCATGAATTTATAAAAGGGATTAAAGATATCGTTCATTATTTTTTGAAATTCAGATGGAGCATTTTTAAGACCAAAAGGCATAACGTTCCATTCATATTGTCCAAAAGGGACATTAAATACGGTTTTATATTTATCTTCTTCTTTTATTTGGATTTGCCAAAAATCAAATTTTAAATCGAATTTGGAAAAGATTACAGCATGTAAATGTCTATCAAGTAAATCTTTTTTATTTGGAATGGGATATCTAATTCATTGTAAGATTTTATTGAGGGATTTATAATTAATGACTAATCGTGGAACTCCTCGTTCTTGCTCAGCATTTTTATTGACATAGAAAGCAGAGCAGCTCCAGGGAGATGAACTAGGACGTATAAGTTTCTTTTGGAATAAATCTTTTATTTCATGATGACATGTTTGTAATAATTCTGTATTCATTTGGATTGGTCTAGCTTTTGTTAGTATCTTTGTTTCACTAAAATTTGGTTCGTATGGTAATCCAATAATATGTTGTTTTCTATGCCAAAAGGCGTTTGGTAATTCATTACATATTTCCTTTTCAATAAAACTTTTGAGTTGTTGTATTTTTTGTATTAT